AATCGAATTTTTTTTTAAGAGACTGTCACAAAACAGCCTATCAAATTGAGTTGGGTGATCATTGGGATCAATCGAGGAGAGGAAGTTTGTGAGTGAAACGTTTGGGAAGTGTTGGGTGCTGTCAGAGCACCTTAAAGCATGTTTCCCCCACAGACTTGGACTGATGAATCTGTGTAAAAGGGGCTTTGTGATAGTTGGATGAAAGAGACTAAATAACCAAAGTGTAGTTACCTTTGTTTTGAGACCCTTATTTTTTGTCATTACTCTCCAGAAAAATTAAATTACTTGTCTTTTTTTTGCCTACAGCATAAGTGTAAATGCCGTTGAACTTAAGTAGCCTGATATTTGGAGTGAAAATTCCAAGAGCAAACTCAAGACAACTGGGCAGATCTTTCATGCCAGACTCCTTTTATGATTATTAAATATATGAAGACGCTGAACAGGAAAATGGTCGAAATGCTGTGGTTTGCCCTGATTTACCTTGCTGTTCTGTAGAATCGTAGAATCATAGAACTGGAAGAGACCTCAGAAGGTCATCAAGTCCAGCCCCCTGCTCTAGGCAGGACCAATTCCAACTAAATCAACCTATTATTTCTGTAAAGAAATAACTTTTCCTTCTGAACATGCTTTTAAAATGGAAGGTTGGTGAGACTGAGAAGTGGGTGCTCTATTTGAATTGCCATCCCAGTTTTACTCTGGGGACAGCTGGCTTACAGATTTGATTGGCTGCTTGAGGGTTTTATAAAGGATCCTGAGTCTTTAAAGTAACCCTCAATTTTTAGTGACAGTCGTGCAAGGACTTGGTCACCAGGACTCTTGGACAGATGCACTGATGTGTTCAAGGGGTAGAGTTGAATTTTTGATATCCATAACCCCTTGCTCTTAAAGCACTTTGAGATGTCCTGATGAAAAGTGCTTTGCAAAGGAGGTCGGTATCATTATCCCCCTGATACAGATGGGGAAACTGAGGCTGTGATAGGTGACGTGACTTGACCCGCATCATCCAGCACTCCAGTGAATACTGAGATTAGAGCTCGGGTCCCCAGAGTGCCAGTCAAATGTACTGCCTTCTAGGGCATGTTAATAAAGGAGCATCTTGTATATTTTCCTCTCCATCTTTTGATAGAAGGGGGTGTATGGTGGGGAGGTGGTATGTCCCTCTCCTATTAGACTGTTTTTATTTGGCTGGGATTTTAGTGACCCTGCTATGTCCTTGCTAGTCTGTTTTATCTCAGAGTGTAACGCACACATGTGCACGAGAGAGACTTACAAAAGGGTTCCCACCAGTGTAGCTGAGATGATGGAGAGCTTATTGCAGGCAGGGCTCTGGAGGCCAAGCCTGGTTTCTGGCATTCACAGGTTAACTCAAACTGGCTCTGGCCAATAGAGCTTTGGCTACTATAAGGCACCTTCTGTCTGTTGTTGCTTCAGCTGAGCTGATACTATGCATGGCAGGGTGTCTTGGTAAGCTCCCTCAGGCAGCAACTGTACAGAACATGCTGTAGTGGGGCCCTGGTCCATGCTTGTCTCCTAGGTGTTACCATGATACCAATAACTCATTTCCACGGCCACCAGAACCAGCAGTGTCAGCCAGGGTAAACCGAGCTCAGCCACTTCTCAGTGGGGGCCATGCGAGTTAGTTGAGCTTAACTTACCCCCTGTCCATAGAACTGCTACGCCACTGAGCTCAGATGTTCTTTGCAGAAAACAGAATGTGCTTCAAGACAAAGGCAAGTGTGCAAATGGCATCACGCAGGGCTTTTTCAGGGTGGGGTGAGGCTGACTTACTCTGACCAGTGTGCCTAAGTCAGGATAAGGCAGATCTGTTTGGGGAGCTCCATACTTGGAACCCCACAGCAGCCTGCTTCCCGGATATATGGAAGAACCCAGCTTTTTGGCAACCCATGGGTTTTCTTGCAGTCAGACTCTCTCTCCTCTTCATTGTATTACTTTGGTATGTGAAGGTGGTGCTAGGAGTTGCCAGGGTTTGTGCACACACTCCTGGGTGTGTGCTGGCAGGAAGGAGTGCTCTGCTGTGTGTTGTTTATCCATGGCTGGGAAAAGTGTTGGTTAATGGCTGACTAATTAAACGAGGCAGAGAGATAAAGGGAATGTGACCTGGGTTAGGACTGCAGGCTGTGGAATGTGTCACTCTAACTGGAGCACAGTTTGGTGTGGAGCTGCAAGAGGGGAACTGCAAGGGGAATGTTGCAGGGGAGGGGAAGGGTTAGACCAGCTGGGCAAAATGATCATGAAAATTCATCAGCCAAGATCCCAAACCTGCTTCCTAAATGTGAGGATGGCAAAGCTAGTCCTTGCTGCTTCGAAAAATCACCCTGAGTCCTAGATTGCTCCCTCCTAGCCTTGGAATGTAGGGTTTAAACAGCCACCGTGGTAGCTTCCCCCTGGAGAAGGGACTTGAGGTGCCCCCAGCCTTCTCTGCTCCAGCCCACCAAAGTCCACTCGCCTCCCAGAGCAGGGGCTAGAAGAACCCAGGAGTCCAGTGGCAATGGGATTTGCCTCATATAATTTCTAAAGCAAAACCTTTTAGGGGAAAAAGCCCATAAGGTAGAGTTTTGCAAGATTAATGTCTATACTGAGCTGGAATAATTGGATGGCAGTAGTTGATCTTGTAGCTCTGACCAGTCCTGCATAAGGCTTGGAGGGGGTGTTGCCAATATACTAATATTGTGTGTGTGTGTGTGTGTGTGTGTGTGTGTACACACATGCATGCATGTGCAAAATACATCTGGTGTAAAGACCCATGTGCTTCCTGAGAAGCAGGCATAAGCCAAACCCCAGCCCAGCACTTTTGAAAATAGTCTCACAACAGGGTAGTGAATTCCTGCTTTTTTCATTGATAAGACTCAGGTATTGTGCTGCTGGCTGCAGGTTTCTGCTGAGACAAAAAGGAGAAACTTGACTCACTGGGGACCAAAGATCCTAGCAAGAAACTTTCTTGGGACAGTGAAAAGAGGGTGTGAGGTGGTTACCATCCCCTGGGAGGCTTGTGACACTGAGTCATTACCTGGAAGTGGGGTGAAGCTCTTTTCCTGGATGATACAAAAAGCTGGCCATCGCTCCAGTGTGACTAATAGGGACTAGGGAGGCATAGTTGTGGGCATTGAGGCTTTTCACTAGTGCTTAACTCAGGTGAATGCAGGCAGCAGGTTTCCCTGAGTCAGCAAATCAGGTAGGTGACACAGCAGTGCTTGGCCAGCCCTGTGGATGCTGGTTCTCTGTGAAGAGAATGATTCCTGAGCACGAGGGCTGGGGGGCTCTCTAATAGGCCAGAAGGTCACTGTGAAAATCAAGGCATTGGAAGCTGTTTTCCTTAATTGTGCCTATTGTAGAGCCTAAGCGCAAGCCAAGATGGGGACCCTCGTACTTGGTGGGACAGAGTAGTAGGCTGTCCCTTCCCTAAGGACAGGGCAGCATTTGCTACTCAGAAGAAACTGGATGGGGGTGGGGTATCCGTGTGGGGAAAGATGTTCCCCACACTCCACAAATACCCAACTTGCCCTGTGCTTCAGGAGTACCAGATGGCTTTGAGCTTCTTTATAGGATGTGCTGGGGGGAAGGGAAATCTTGCAGGCTGGGAAAGAGGGTCTCTCCTGGTACATGAAGTACACAAGCAGCTGAAGAACATCTGAGACCGGCTGGATGCCTTCCCACTTCATGTGGGAGCTGGGCAGACTGCAGGGGGAGCTAGCTACAGTGACTGAGGTCTGTGACCACAGCTGGCCAACACATGAGGTCTCTAGCACCTGGGAGGATACTTCTGCCTTCCCCTGTATTCTTGCCCCTCACCCCTCCACTTGCAATCTAATCAGTCACCTTGTGAGTCCAGGTCTCCTGTCCCAAAGGAGCCGTTGGGTGGATTGGGCTTTGCTGGAAGTGAAAGAGAGGCCTTTCTCCTTTTGTGTTCACTACTTGCTGAAAATGCCACTGGACCTGCGCAGGGAACACGCTTGAGAGCATAGGACTCAGGTTAGGAGCTCTGTGTATTGTATCTGCCCTCGGGAACCCATTAACTGGTTAAATGTAACTTGTATTTGATTAACTATTAAACAGGATTTTATATTCCTAATGCAAATAGGAGTAATACCCGTTGGGCCTCCCTTGTCCGGCACCCTGGACCTGAGTGGTCCTGAATGAGGGAGTTTGCTGGACCAGAGGAGGTCAGGCTCAGGCTCTCCTGGGGCTTCCCTGTGAGTCGCTGATCTGGCCAGTGCTCTGCCCTGGGCCTACTGGCAGGGCTTCCTGCCCCTGGCTGCACTCCTGGCCGGTAGGGCTCCCTGCCCCAGTCACTGGCCTTGCTCCGGGGGCTCCCTGTCTCGAGGACACTGAGCTCCCAGCCATTGAGGTCCGTGACTGGGATCCTTTGGTCCATCAACATCCGTGGTCCTGCCGGACCAGAGAGGTTCATCCTATATTTGTCTCAGCAGCCCCTGGGATAGGCATTAATGGTTTAAGTATATAAAGCTCTTTGAGATCCTCTGACCAGGCTGCCATAAGTGCTGAGTACCACTTAATCCCTGTGTGAATTCAAACATAACAAACCCCTTCCATTTTAACAGGGCACAGGTTGCTTCATTTCCTCTTCTAAACTAGTGTGTATACGGCTTGTGCTGTGCAGCTGCTGCCACATTCCACCCAAGAGGTGGCTGTATTTCAGTGTTGTGGTGTATTATATGGCAGGGGTTCTCAACCTTTTTTTATAAAGTACCCCCCCGTGCCTACAGTTTTCAGACACACACCATTTTTTTTCTACCATTGCAATACATTTCTTTTAAACAACTTAATTGTAGCCGGGCAGGTGATGACATTTTTGGGTGTAAAAAGTACAAAAATAATAAAGCACTGTAAAACTCAAAACAAATTCAGTTTTCTCCAAATTTCAGTTGTTTTGATGTACCCCCCCAGACTTCTTTCGAGTACCCGTAAGGGTATGTGTACCACTGGTTGAGAAACACCGTTATATGGGACTGAGATGAACTAGAATGCCTGTTTTGTATGGCAGTGTTTTTTGTCTTGTTACCTTACTCCTTTTGTTGTGGGACTGGAAAAGCTGCCAGGGAAACTTGCAGAAGCAGATCCCAGAGGGAGCTTGGTAAGGTTAAGTGCTGGAATTTACAAACCGAGTGGGCGGGATCTCTGACTCCTGGCCTGGGAGGAGCAAGTAGGCAGGCCAGCTGGTTGGTGCTGGAATGCTCCTAACACATGCAATTCAATCTTGGAATGGGGGAAGGAAGGCTTCTGCCAACCAACCAACTGACTTCTGTGGGAGGAGCTGCAAGGAGACAGGGAGGAGGAGTCTAAGAGTAATAAATAAGGAGCATCTGTTTGCAGTTGCCGCACAGCCTCCTGCACTTCACCAGTAGAGATGCAGTCCCATGAAGAAATGGCATGTAAGTTTTTCTTTTGAATGCCTCTTTGCCTTGTAAGTAGCACAAGTTAATGCTCTGTGATCCTTACGGACGGCCTCTTGTTTCAGAGGAGCTTGGTCAAAGGCCTGATATCCAAGTGGTGTGTATCTGGTGGCCAAACCTGATCCAGTTAGCCGAGGTAACTAGGGAATGAGATGTGAAGCGCTCCAAACAAGTGGGGGGAAACAAAAATGCTTCTGCAATCCAGTCAGGCACACTGCATTCCTGGGATGTGGCCAAGTTTAAGCTTCTCTCAGTGTAGTGGAAAAAGAACTGATGGGACAGGGTGCAGTCTGTGGTCACCTCTCTATGGCAAGCACTTTGTTGGAAGATGCTGTAATACGGGGAGGGTTTTTTGGTCATGCTCTGTCAGCCTCCAGAGTCTGACCAGGCTCTGTCCATCTCCTGTGCTTTTGTGCTGTACTTGGAGAGGTTGCATATCTTCTCCCATTAGTAGACATGAATAATTTGATGTGCCTTTCCAGACCTGCCAGTGTCTGGGTGGGCGAAAGAACAATGTGGCCATTGCATGTCAGCATCCGTTTCCGATGGTTTCTCATTTAGTACTTTAAGAAACAGATAATTTAGAACAAAAACCAATCAAGTGGGGAGCAGTCTGAAATGCCGAGCTTCCTTTTCTTTTTCATCATCTGTTTCCATGTTCTTGATCTGTTCAGAACTCTTTCAGCTGCGTTGGCTGCTTTTGTCAACAAGCTGGCCTTTGTTTTCCCATCAGGCACCAGAGGCAGCAACAGGGTTGGAACTACTTCGGTGCTGCATATGGGCAGAAATCTTGCCCTCAGACTTTCGCTGGCGTGAAGATCTGTAGGGATTATCTCTCTCTTAGTTGCCCTGCTAATGTAAACCTAGTCCTCACACAGCCAAGGTAACCTGGCTATAGGTGAGTGAGTGTTCTGCAAAGGTACCAACAGAAAAGGGTGGAAGGCATCTTTTTGCTTTTTTGGTGTTTACAATCCATGAATGGCTCTAAAAATTAAGTCTTCACATTCATATTTTGCCGTTTTGGTGTTGGGTGGGTTAAACACGTGTGTATTAATCTGCAGATTTTCCAGTGCTGTCCCTTAGGATTCCAGGTCCTAGTCCTGGGAATTTTACCCAGGAATGGGCATCAGTCTTGCACTTGATATCGCGGGAGCAGCGTCGGGGTAGTAAGTGCAGTGCACTGCACACCCGTCACATCCAGGGAGACGCCTCCACCGATCAGCTTAATCCATCCTGTCTGTTGAATTGTTGGGACCAATAGGCAGCGCAGGGATTGCGGCTATTTCTGTCCCAACTGGGGGGAGGGTCTGGTTAGCTGTGGGGACTCTCTTGGGTAAAGAGCATCTTGAACTGGTGACCTACACATCCAGAGCAGGTCTGGAGTGACGCAGCTGGATTGTTCAGTGGCGTATGTGAGCTGGAAGCCCTCGCTGGCACCTGGCCACCCTCATTCTTGGCAGGCTTGGCACAGAGATCATAGGGGTGGAAATCCTCTGTCATCGCTAGTCCTTCCAGGTCAGAGGGGAAGCTGGCCAGGCTCCTGCCTGGATTGTCCAGTTGTGTGGATTAGGACTCTGTGTTTTGTGCAATGCAATTCATTTTAATCCATGGTTGGGTGCCTTCATGCTGCACTAACCTGCTTAATACTAAAAACCATGAGCAGTCTGGGGCAACGTAGAGACTCACAAATATATTCGATCAGGTGAGAAGTGGGTTTTACCCAGGAGAGCTCCTGCCCTAATGTAATTTGCAAGCTCCACCTTGCTGCCTCTATTAGTGAGAGAGCCACATTCCTGAGCCCCCATCATCAGGGTGACGTTCTTCCATCAGCCCAGCGGCCTTCCTTAGGGAGGTGGGTTTGCTGTTATGACTGAGAAATCCCGTCTATTGCTGTAGAAAGCGTCAGCACTAGGCTGCCCATAACGCTGATGTGGCCTCCGTTTCCAGAAGCGTCCATGTTGCATCTTTACTAGCACTAAATTTGTAGGGCCTGGTCCTCTCTGGAGCCTGGCTAGTACTTGGATGCAAATCAGCTGGGAACCCCCGCGGGTGCTGTAGTTAGCCCTTCTTTACAATGTTTCTCCTTAGTTTATCCATCCCCCTGCCCTTCCTCTCCCCACCCCCCTCAGCAAGGATTCCTCTAGAGTCAGAGAGTTTACTTGCAGGAGTAAAGTTTGCATGAGAGCCCTAAATAGTTCATCAGTTCAGAAAGACCAAGAAACCCTGTGGCACCTTGGAGACTAACACACATATTGGATCATGAGCTTTTGTGGGTAAAACCCACTTCATCAGACGAATTCAGAAGGTGTTTCATGCAATTCTGCTGCCTGAGCAATACATTAAACTCTGTGTGTGTGTGTGTTAAAGATGTAAATCCAGAAATACTCCTGGTGCCGCATAATTGAGAATCTGCTTTGTTCCCTGTTAACCCCCTGACCTCTCTCAGCTAAGGAAGACGGCTGTGCCCACCCACTGCTGCTTTGAGGAAGCCAGGATGTTTGCAGACACCTTCTGGGTTCCTTAATGCACTCAGCTGATAGTTCACCAGAGTCAGGTTACATGAGGGAGGAATGAGGCTCTGGCTGTTTCCTAAAGAGGTGTTGGTTTTCTCTTGCTTTGCCCCTTCCCCCCCATTACAAATTTTGATTCAACATCTGGTTTTTGAGTTTTAATTTTTCATTCATTCATAAGAGGAAACTCTTCTTGTCTCATTCACGCTGAGGATGACTCGACTTGTCTCTTAGCAATGTGCATGATTTGACTCTGAGGATTTGGGGGTAGAATGAGATTGACGAGTGCCTACATCACTGAGTCTGAGAAACTTGGTAAAGGAGTTGCTGCAGATGCTTGCCTACTCCGGGCCCACCAGGTGATGTTGCCAACCAGCTGCATTTAATAACATTGTATTATGGGGTTGGCTTGGATGAGCCAGCTGTTGAGTTGTCAGCTGTTGTGTAGCTTTCCTCTGCTCCCCTTCTGACTTGGGACTGTGGGTTTTGACTCTTTCAGTGAAGTAGACTTACTGTGCATTCACATGATGGTCCGTGTCAGCTCGAAGATGAGCGGGCGACTGTCGCGCTACCTATAACAGTGGAGTGCTTGTCAACGGCCAGCTATTTTCTTGTCCAACCAAGCTGGCTAGTGTAAAGAGTGTTAGTTTACAAGGGCTGTGCATTCACCAGCGGCTCAGTCTCCTTTCAGCTGTTGAAACAGGTTGTTATACCAAGGGTTTTTTTCTTGTCCGTTCTGTTGGCTTGTTGACTCCTCAAGGCATCATGGTTTTATCCTGTACAGTCAGTCGCAGTTGGTCCTTTAACAAAGGCGAGTTTGGAAAAGAGGTTGATACCCAACCCCTCTGTCAGCAACATCTACTGTCAGCAAGCATGTTTGGGAGAGTTTGTCTGTGTGTTCAAGAACTCCTCCTAAATGGGAAGAGCTAGGACCGACAAATGCAGGATGCAGCTTCCTCTTATTCTAACTTAAGCCAAGGTCAGGGTTTGGTTGTGCCAGTACAATGGGATGTGCTTGGAAGAGGATTGCTTCTCAGAAAACCATATAGAAAAGAGACCATCACCAGGCAGGCAAAAGGGGCTGGCTGGGGGCACCTACCCTAGCCCCAAGCCTTCAGCTTCCCAGGTGCTTTTGAAGGAGGGCAGGGGAGCTGAAGCTCCCTCCTGTTCATAGGGGAACATTGCTGGTGGTTCCCCTTCGTCAAGAAGCGAGAGGAAAGGGCACAGTTTGCCACATTCCTCGCTCTAGCTGGGGAGCACAGATGAACCTGCACATGCAGCCCTGCCCCAGCTCTGGCTACTGGAGCTGCAGTGGCCATGGAAAGACTCTTCTCTTCTGGCCCAGGCTGCTGCGGTGAGAGAGAGCTTTCCCTCCAGCATACCCCAGAGCGTGATTCAAATGAAACATGTAAGGGTAAGACCCCATCAACACTACCTATCAGTCACAAGGGAGATCTCTATCTCTCTCATGTGCTCACTTTCCCCTCTCTGCTCCAGAGAGCCCTATAACTCATTTGGTTGGATTTCCTTTCCCCCCAGATACAGCTTGTCTGGTCCGAAGGAAGGAAGGGGATGGGTAGGTGGGAGGGCGGTGCTTGTCAGTATCCTATGGGATGGACAAACCTTTCACCTTCTATGTGCTGGTTTCTGGTAGATTTCTTTAATGAGTGGTTTGCTTTGATCTGTTGCTGGGCAGGACTAAAGCTATATCTTATTTTTAAAGGACACGGATGCTTAATGATGTAAACAGAACTTTAGTGTTCCCTGGCTTTGTTTATACCAGAAAAAATACATTTGGGTCCGCCCCATGGCCAGATTTCCTGTGTAATGGCTAGTCCAGAGCACAGCAGCTCTAAGCCCTGTGTAAAACACTCTCAAGTCAGCTTTGTACCTTGCCTAGTGGAGTTCCTGCAGTCGCAGTAACAGACCATCCAGTGTCAAAGTCCTGGTCTGAGTCTGTAGTTAAAAACACTATTTGGCAATCTGACACTCACTCTGTTTTAAAAATTCTGCCTGCTCCTCACATAAAGGGGATTATTGGCACTTTGATTTCTGCCTGAGAGCAACAAAACTACATACAAGTACAAACTGTGGCAAGGTCATTCCAGAACCACCGCCTTCTGATGGCTAGAAACCTTCTTCTCCAGCTACCCTTGCTTCCTGGCTAGTTTCTCCCCCTCTGTTCTTGTGCCAGCATCCTCCCGTGACTTCAGCAGCTTTTCTCTCTCCAGGGTTTTGCCTCTCCCAGCACAGAATTAGCATGCTCAGATCCACATTCTGCTTGCATTTGGCTGATCTACACAAACCAAGCTCTTTCATTCCTCTGCTCATCCTGGTGGGCAGTCTCTGCTCCTGGGCAAGTTTGGAGGGCAGGGAGGTGAACCAATCATTCCTGGTGCTTGTACGTGAGCATGACTGATCCCACTGCAGCATCCTGCTTGTGTGCAGGAGATTTCCCTGCGACTTGTG